CAATATAATATTCCTTATCTAATTAATTAATATTATTTTTAATATAATTAATTAATTAATTCCTATTTAATTACTTATTATTAAATAAATATGTCTGGGGAATTCTATCTAACCCTAACCCTCCCCAAAACTGATTTATTTTACTTCATTCCAAGTCCTAGGAGCTCCTTCCCTCATGATCCTTTCGTTCCCAAAAAAAAAGAAAAAAAAAGGGAACTGAGCAAAGATTCCTTGATTTTTCGGGATTGCAGTGAGGATAAGGATGAAGCACAGAGGGAAATCCTTCTTGGGAGAAAATTGGGAAGGAACTGGAATGGAAAATGAAAATATCCAGGAATTAGATGGCTCTGGAAGCTGTGGGTTCTGAGGGACTGTAGGACAGGGAAAGGTTCATCCCGAGGGAACCTGGGATCTTTCTTTGGAATGTTAATGATTGATTAATTGCTGGATAAAGTCATTAACCTGCAGGAAATGTGGCAGGATGGCCCTGGCCAGCAACGAGAGCCGTGATCCAGGTCCAAATCCAGGGATTTTAGAATTTCCCAGACTAGAGAAAGTGGGAATTCCTCCTGGGAATAAGGAGGGAGCGTGTCCTGGAGGAATTGCCTGATTGCTGTTTGCAGTAATTAATGAGCAAATCGTGATGAGAGACACAAAATCTGCCCTGGAGGGGTGGAAGAAAGGAACAAAACTGCCCTAAAAGAGGGAAAACCAGAGTGGGGAAAACCCTGCTGGAGAATCCAGGTTAATTTTAAACCAATTGTTGTCGTTATAAACCCAAAGAATCTCTTTTCCCTCTGCAGTGAAAAACCACCCAAGAATTATTATCAGAGTTAAAAACCTCCCCCAAAACCATTCTAAACCAAAAGCTGCTTCACTCCAAAAGGCCAAAGCAGCCCCAAATCCCCTCTCAGCTCCCCCAGCCCCAGCTCTGCTGTTAATTGTGGCTCAGGAGAGCAGAATTATCCCCTGGACTCTGATCCCAGGTCCTGTTTGCATGGAAAAGCCTGGAATACAAACCTGGCAGGGCTGAGGGAGAGGCCACGCTCAGAGCTGACCCCACTTTTCAAGGCAGAATTAATTTAAAGAACATCTTAAATTATTCATCATTTCCTGCAGAGCTTGAGGCTTTTTTTATTTAATTATTTTAAGATATTGGTGGTGTTTTAAGTGGCTACAGAAGTGGTAATTCCTGTCTTATCCCTTTTTTTTTTCTTTTTTTTCTTTTTTTTTTAAGGCTTCACTACAATATTTTCTACTGTTTGTATCTGATGGAAAATGCCTGTGGAATTGTGCAGCCTCTGGAAGAGGGAAGAGTGAATTTGTGTTCCAGGTGATCCAAGCAGTGCCCTGAGGGAATTCTGAGCATTCCATGGAGAGGGGAGAAAGGAAATGGGATAAATTCATCCATCACCGAAGTCTAACAAAGATAAAACTGGTTTTTAATGAGCTTAAGGTGCCAAATTCATTCTTAAAGCACAGAATGGTCCCTTAAAAAGATATTTTCCTTTGTTGGTGTGTGATGTTTTCTTGTATTCCCTAAAAAATCTTTCCCAAGATTTTATCTCCAGTATTTGCTTATTCCATGCTTTTCTCTTTTCCCCAATAACCAAGATGGGATGGGATCAATCAATCCCTGATTTCCCAGTTAATTTCTTTTATGTGGGAGGATTTATTTTAGGGATTTTTAAGGGATTCATTCCTTTCCCACGTGTTGAGTGGAATTTTTTCCCTGTTTTCAGTGGATGGGCTGATGTCAAACTGACCCATGAACAGCAGAGGATTTTGAGTCACAAGATTGAGCCTGGCCAAACAGTGAAAATAATGGCATTTGCAGGTAAGAGCCCAAAATGTGAGAAAAATATCTGGACAATTCCCAATCTTCTCCTTCCTCCCTGATCCCTCTGCCTGGGGGATTGTGAGATCCCAAGGGGGTCAATTTGTGCCTCTGGGATAACAAATTTAAGGGAAAATCCGCCAAAAAACGGAGGCAGAATAAAAACAGGGGAGTGAGGAGTGGGAAAATGTGGGACAGCCCTACAAATCCCAAAATTGGGAAAGGAAGGAGGACGAGGAGAATGCTCCAGGTGCAGGAGTAGAGATTTCCCTGGAACTTCTGGGGGAGCAGTTCCTGAAGGATTGACCCTATGGAAAAGGGATCCAGGCTGGAGCAGATCCTGAAGGATTGACCCCAAAAGGGATCCAGGCTGGAGCAGTTCCTGAAGGATTGACCCTATGGAAAAGGGATCCAGGCTGGAGCAGTTCCTGAAGGATTGACCCCAAAAGGGATCCAGGCTGGAGCAGTTCCTGAAGGATTGA